TGCACAAACCCCTGCACTCCACCCCTTCCGAAGGCAGGCAATTAACAGACCCCCCCCAGGGGTGGCCTTAGACTAGCTGGCAGCAACTGGCGCCCTAGGCAAACCATGTAATTGGCGCCCCCACCTCCAAACCCCTCCATGATATTGTGCCACCATTTGGCGCCCCATTTAACTTGGCGCCCTAGGTGACTGCCTAGCTCGCCTCTTTAGACGCCAGCCGCCCCTGCCCCCTCCCACAAAGACAGGGAAGTGGACAGACAGACCCAGTTCTGAACTGTAGTAGAGCTCCACATGCAGGATGGGGAGGAGGGGCAGAATTGAGGGAACCAGATTCTGGGTGGAGCCCTCTGATGCCCCCAGCACAAGCACCTACAGCAGCCTGAGGGTGGCTGCAACAATCCCACGGAGCATTGCAAGAGCGAAGGCCAGCCTGGGGTGCCGCATGTTTCACCAGGCAGAGCCCTGGCATGCTCCTTGCTCAGGCGCTGCAAGGGGAGGTGGGTCCATTGGCATCCAGAGGACCCTCCTATGCCACAGGAATGACCAGGGGCTCCTCCTCTGGCTTCATGTCCAGTGCAGGCAGCACAAAAGGGCCACGGCAGAACCCCAGACTGATGGCCACAGGGGCTTGGCGACAGCCAGAGACAGAGCAAGCAGCAGCCCAGGTGTGCTGCCTGCCTGTAGTGTGCTGGCTGCCTGGCCTGCAGTCAGGCCAACAGGCCATGCCGCCTCTGACAGCAGCTGACAGAGGGAACCACGGAGGCAGAAGCCACCTTTCCTAGGGCATCTCCAGCACCGGGGTAAGAGGGTCTCCGCTGAAGGCAGGTCTAAAATGCCATAGGCGGGGAGGCTGCAGCTAACGTCTGATCTCAGATTTCACCCCCCTGCAGGAACAGCGGAACATCAAACCAAACCGCCTTTTAAAGTCACATTGTTCTCCTTTGTCCAGCTCCACAACCAGAGAAACACCTGGCCCAGAAAAGTTAGTAAGTGAAGCATAAAAACAAACTAATTTGCCATCTGAGTCCAATCCACATGGGCCTGCGCCAAAGCGCCGACTCGTGCCCACTGCTTTGAGTTCAGAGACAGGCAGGCCCAAGCTGGGAAACTGAGGTATTGCCTCCAGTCCCCCCAGGGGCTGCAGATAGGCCAGGATTCACACATCTCCAGGAACCAGAGCAACAGAGATCCATTGCAAAACCATCTGACAGCTCCTTCCCTTAACCAGTGGCTTATGACACAGCAAGGGAACCGGGAGGTAAGTGGCTCACCCTAGCCAACAGCAGTATCCTCCTGAGAGCGCTGAGCACCCGCCAATTACTACTCAGCTAGCTGCGTCCTTACCTTGGACCAGGCTTCTCAGTCAAAGGTGCCATTTGCTGGGCTCTTCCCGCCCCCCACTTGGACTCCAGAGACAAGGTGTGAAAGAGTCAATCAGGGTTTGCTCCGGGCTGTTCGGCTCCCTGAAGCATAACCCGAGTTTGGGGAGGCCTGGGCACCCTTAAATACTTTGCTCCTCCCACCTCTGTGCTTTAATTAGCCAGCAGGCTCTTAATCATGTCAGCCTGTCACTTGGCTTGCTCACCGTCAACAGCCCCCTCCCGCCTGCCTGGCATTCCTTTGCCCTTGACATCATGCAGACACGCAGTGGCAGCAGACGGGGTGGGGGCGGGGGAGCGGGAGATGGATGCATTGGGGAGGAGGGAAGTGATGGCTAAGCACATGGAAAGTGCTGCGTAAAACACCCGTACCCAAGCCGTGTGTGTGTCTACCAGGGAACGGTTTGATTAGCATCTAGCTACAGGCCCTGGAGACCCTTGAGCACGGGCTGGCAAATGTGTCGCCGCCAGCAGAGTTAGGTCTGGAGTGGAAATACCTGGCATGATACAGAGAGAAACTCTCATCCTGAGAGATTGAGATTTATTATGCAGCCCAGAAGCTTGGGAAACACAGCCCTGCTGGGGCAGAGGCCCCAAAGGAAGGCAGGTTGGCGGGGCCAGGACTCCCCTGGGAAGCCCAGAGAGGAACACATGCTGGAGTGGCAGTGGTGCCAAATGGACAGAGGATAGCGTGTGCTCTCCTGGGCATCTGGGAAGGAAGGAGGGTGAGACCAAGGCCTCCCCCTCTTTCCGGGCATGCACACAGGAGACAAAAAGTCTGGGACTGTAGCATTCTGCGTCCAGGGTGTGGGTCAAGTGACTTGTCCTGGAAACTCAGTGGCGAGTCCAGCCCGGGGTTCTTGGCTCTGCGTCCTGCACCTTTACCAGCAGGCCATCTCTTCCAGACCAGCACATTAGAAGTGGTGCAGGCTGGTACTTCCGGTCTACATGACTGGGATTCCAGCCTCCATCTCTCCCTTATGCCTCTGGGCTTCATTGTACTCCCTGGCCTCTTTCCCATTCCCTTCTCTTTCATCTGCAGCCACCCTTGGGCTGCTCCAAACCCCTCTCAGGGACTCTTCAGTCTGAAGAGCTGCTGACCATGCTGCAGACCGAGATTAACTGTCTGGAAGGCCACCGTCTCCCCAGGAACCGGAATAGAGAGGAGGCTAAGAAAACATGACTGATGGAGAAAGCGTTGCTCCTTTAATTGGGATTGGTCCTGCCTAGAGCAGGGGGCTGGACTTGATGGCCTTCTGAGGTCTCTTCCAGCTCTCTGGTTCTATGCTCTGATTCTATGAACACAGGCCAAGCATGTCTCTGGTTGGCCAGCCAGGTGAGTGCTTAATCTCAATTCAGATCCTTCTTACACACACAGCGTTAGTGAGGGCTCTGAACAAAAGCCCTACAGGAGAAGACTAACATCCACTTTAGGGCTATTTGAAATCTAGACCCAGCTTCAGACTTGTCAGCTCAAACTCTTCTCTATTTTCCAGCTGAGCTGGTTGGTGAGCATCCCTCCCTTAGCCGAGTGGGAGCAGCTGACATCCTGGCCTGGGAAGCTGGCACCAGTGCAGGACGAGGCTGGTAAGCACTGATCTAGTTGACTTCTGAGTTTAGTATTGATCACATATACCTCACAGTCCAAGAGACACGTGCAATGGCTGATCAGCATTACCGGTGCTGGAGAGGAGCCCAGTACGCAGAATTCACACCTGGATTTCCAAGGGCCTAATACTTGGAGGGGTTATGTTTGGCCCATTATGGAGATGAGGCCATTTGCAAAATTTGGATCAGGCTCTAGGTGTAGCTTGCAAACACAATGGCTACGTCTACACTGGCCCCTTTTCCGAAAGGGGCATGGTAATTTCAGAGATCGTAATAGGGAAATCCGCGGGGGATTTAAATATCCCCCGCGGCATTTAAATAAAAATGTCCGCCGCTTTTTTCTGGCTTTTAGAAAAGCCGGAAAAGAGCATCTACACTGGCCCCGATCCTCCGGAAAAAGCGCCCTTTTCCGGAGGGTCTTATTCCTACTTCAAAGTGGGGCTGGGGGCGGGGAGCAGTTTGGTCTTCATCCAAAGTTTAGGGGAGTTCTGATCAAGGGCTGGGATTTGTGGGATCTGCACGTCCCAACCACAGAGCTTACAACACAGAGATTCTACAGCAGGCCGGACAAAAGTCAGGCTTTGGGCGCCTGACAGACTAAAGCGAAATCAGGCGGGTAGCTGCTGAGGGGCTCCACTGCTCCAAACAGCCTGACGTCCTGCTGATCTTAAAAGCCAACACTCCGGCTGTGGACACCTCTGAGAGCTTACAGCAGCACCACTGGACCCTCGGCAGAGAGCTCTCCCATCGACCTAATGCCCCCTCCCAACAGGCAGGGGAGGAGCTGCCCTGCGGAGCTAGCGCTGTACACACTTGGGGTAGCCTATTCACACCCCTGGCCAAGTACAGCGATAGCCTTGCTGGGAGATGAGTCACCACAGTGGACTGGGAATGAGCAACAACTCTGGCTGGCATTTTTCAGCCAAGCTGCAATAATCAACTCCCTAAGAGCAGCATTTGCTTAGCTGTCCAGGCAGTCGATGCAAAACTTGTTCTGTCTACAGCATGTCAACAGCTCCATCCCAACAGCACCTCAGCCCGCTGCAGTCACAATGGCACTTACCCTGACGAAGCCCTGCAAGGCGAGGCACTGCCGTTCCCCTCCTTGGCCAGAGGGGAGTTCAGGCCCACACAGGCTGGGGGTGCGTCTAACAGCAAGAAGGGACAGTGGCAGCAAGTCTCTGGGCCCAGATCAACGGATGAGGGGCTGGAGGTAGCAGGGCAGCCATTTGAGAGTACGAGAGGAGAGTCTCTCAGAGCTCAGGTCCACGCCCTAGTGCCTGCACAGCTTTCTCAGCCCTGCGAGCCTGTCAGCTGACCCAGGTTCTGACACTCACTGCCAGAGGGTTGCTAAGCAGACCCACCCTCCGTCTTTCAGGGCCTCACCTCCCCATCTGTAAAACATGGGGAAGCAACTTTTCCAAAAGGGCTGCCAGCTCTGACCAAAGCTAGTCCAGGTCTTATTTTACACATGACGTATTGTCATTTTCTTAAAATACCCAATTCACGTCTCCCCGATTGCTCTCAACAGGCTCCGGAGGCTGATGACGACTCTGGCTGGCAACTCTTCTGTCCAATGCCTGAACCAGTATTTTCCAGATTTTGTTCTTTGTGGAAATTTTCAAAATTTTCATCTTTTGTTCAGTGCAGAATGAAGCCAACTTTAAAAATGCTTCACAAGATGGAATATCCACCTTCCCCAAGCCTCCATCTGTGACTAGCTCACTGAGCGCAAGGGCTACCTAAACCAGGGAGCGAGAGAGAGAGACCTTGTCCCGCTCTGTGTCCAGGCCCCACAGGACAGCTCGCCACCCGCAGAGGAATTAGCTGAAAGGACAGAAGTTTGTGATTGTGGTGCTGAAAGTCAGGGTTTGAGCCTGGTGCTACCTGCCAACATTTTCCCACCCCAGCTCCCTTTTTAGAAGGAGCTGTCCCAGATGAAAGGGTTCCAATGTCCCAGTTGTTTGTGCCTCGGATGGCAGCCCTATCTCCCATTCATTCCCCTGTACTCACTGAAATCAGCTGGTTGAACTATTCAGGCCCAGTGGAAAGGGTCACGGTTCTCCACCTGCGACTGCTTTCTTTTCACATGTAATTAGTTCACAGTAACACACACCTGCAAGAGAGAGAGCGGGAGGGAAGTGTGTTACTATTACTGCCACTGCCCCGGTGTCCATTGCACTTACCAAAGGACAGAGAAGTCATCCCAGAGCAGAACTGAGGCATTAAAAGGAGCACAGCAGTACAGAGAGGCATTAAAAGGAGCAGCGGAGGCATTAAAAGGAGCACAGCAGTACAGAGCGGAGGCATTAAAAAGGGGTCAAGTCTTAACTCTGCCTGGGCCTGGCCCCTGCCTCCTCCCCCAGTCAAGGGACTATGAAACCTGTCCGGCACCACCACTAGGAGGACAGGTTGGGAGGAAGGGTTGCTGGAAAGCCAGGGAACAGAATAAAAGCCTGTTTCAGTGTAGAGATGACCTTGGGAATCTCTTTTCTTGGGGACAGTCTCTGAGGTCCCTCCAGGTAAGGGCAAACAGACAATGGGGGAGCAAAGAGAGATGGAGAAAGAAAAAAAACATGGAAGATAAATAGATGGGAGGAAAGAGACCAAATCAGAAAAAGTCTGGTCCCTCAGAGCTACACACAATGGGGCAGCTTTGCCCCAGCACAATCTACATGCATGGCCACCTCAGCGCAGTCCCAGGTAGCAATGCAAGCACGACCTCTACATGAGGCCTGGCCGTGGACTGAGTGCGAGCCCCTAGCGGAATTGTGTTCAGTAAGCAAAAGTTGAACCCACGAGTTCAGTGATACCACTCGACCATTTGGCACTCAAGAGGAACAGCGTATACTGGAAGCCAGACCCTGGCTAAAACTTAAAATGCAATGAGTGTGCTGAGTGGGTTTCATTCATGGACTTTAAAGTAAATTTCCTCTGTCAAGATGATGATTCCAGAAGATAAGATGTTTGGTGGGTCTTTTGCTCATGGTTAATATTTATGAACCCTGTTTGCACTGGTTTCCCAAATTAATGCTGAATTACTTCCCTCCTTTTATTACAAGTTTTTTGCTACACTCAGACTCTGTGCTTGCGAGAGGGGAAGCGCTGCTTCTTAGAGGCACCCAGGCGGTGGTGTGTAATAGTCCCATGCTGCTGCGTGAGGGCTTGGGCCGGTTTTGTGTTGCACTGTTGGAAAGGAACCCCTAGATACTGAACCGTCCCTTGCTGCTGCCAACACTGACTGGCACAAGGGTTATCAAGAGTATTCCATTCAAGTCTGTGTGATAATCCATCTCTTGTGGTGGGAGGAAGGGGTTAGAGCAATTCATTTAGAAGATGGAAGAGTGACTCAAAGGCAGCAGTCCAGATATCAGCTAATAATTTGCTTTTATAGCAAGTTACTTAATCATTCAAATGATAGATTTGAGATTCTGATCACATTCGTTAGTTGTATTTATAAGCAGACAGCCACCTTTTTAGAATCTATAGAAGGACTGATTACTGTTGAGTAAATTGGTTGGTTTGATTTCACCAGCACTGAATAGTTGTTGTGCTTTATACTTAGTTTAGTGCATAGCAGCTTAGCTTTGGTGATAAAGTTTCCCTGCTCTTATCTTTGCTTAAGTGTTCTAATAACATTATAAAGGGATATGGAGTCTTATTTCTTTTAACAAGCAACCTTGGTCCAGAAGTTAGAACCTTTGAGACATGGGGCAGATATCAGCCAGTCAACCTAAAATCTTGTCATGCTCTCCTAATTAGCCAGTAATCACAGAGAACAGAGAGGAAGAAAAGGAGTAGAAGGAAGCTGCTCAGAGGGATGTCAGAGACTTTGCTTGACTGGAGACATGATGTTTTACAGGCCTCCAGAATTACTTCAGGACCTGCTGGCAGCTGAAACATAAGCATGGAAGAGCCACGACTACTGCCCAGCCTTAGAGAGGTTCCAGAGAGAGACAGAGAAAAGATGGCACCTGAGAGAGTGAGGCCTGCTGGGTGGGTTTCTGCTATCTACAGGAGGCCAGTTTTAATCTGGGCCCTGCTGGCCAGGAGGGAATAAGCAACCACATAATCTGGACAGGGGATGGACAGAGGCAGTTTACAGCTTTATGGGGCCCTGGGCCAAAGCATGTGGGGGCCCCTGCAGTCCTCCCCCCCACATTCTGTTCTCCTGCTATAAAGAGGGGTGGGGCAAGGGGGCTTCCCCCAGACCACAGCAGGAGCACTGGGTGGGCCAGGGAAGCCCTCTGGCCCCTGCCCTGCTCACTGGCAGGAGCGCCAGGCAGGTGGAGTGGGTGGGGGTGCAGTGGTGCCCATTTGCCCAGGGCCCCCAATGGGCCATGGCCACTGGGGATGAAGCCTGCATCCCCTGGAAGCCTTTCTGACTCCTGAAGCAGAGTCAGTGACCTTTGGGAAGATACAAGGAGAGAGAAAAAGGCCATTTTGGCACCTGTCATCTAAAGCAACGGAGCGCTTTGAGCTGTGTAAAGGGTCTGGGCCTGGGAGTCTGGCAGCCAGGCTGGAAAAAAGCCTGGGTGAGAAATACCTTTTTGAGCAAAAGCGACGAGGAGTCCTGTGGCACCTTATAGACTAACTGAAGTGTAGGAGCATAGGCTTTCGTGGTCAAAGACCCACTTCGTGAGATGCATGTCATGCATCTGACGAAGTGGGTCTTTGCCCACGAAAGCTTATGCTCCTACACTTCAGTTAGTCTATAAGGTGCCACAGGACTCCTCGTCGCTTTTGCAGATTCAGACTAACACGGCTACCCCTCTGATACTTTTTGAACAAGAGACTCTGTTAAATTTAGGTTTTAGTCTTAGAAGCGTATTGTTACTTCTGTTTGCTTGTCATCCTTCCTACCTATATTCCCTGTACTTGCTGTCATCTAGCCTATGATTTCCTGGTTTTACTAAAAAAACGAGTGGTTCGATTCAAGCAGAGTACTTGTTAACCTGCTGCTACTGTCATAAGATGCTGGGTGCTATTTCTTTAAGGGAGTAGTGAACTGTAAGCGAGCCTGGAATGACACAGGGCAGAGAGTGTGTTGGAACTCCAGACATGTTACCAACCAAAGGTAACTGGGTGGTGCATGTCAGGGTGCAACCTGCATGCTTGATGATGTGTGTTGGGGACCATGCTGTGAGCCGCAGCAGCACAGAATTCTTGGCCCCCAGAATTGGCAGAAAGGCACTGATATAACCCCTTCTCAGTGTGGGTTAAACCCCAAAGCATCCCGCCAACGCTGTGCACTTCTGAACCTTTCCTCCTCCCCCACCTTGACTGGAACGATAAATGTAAGTAGAGACGGGTCAATGCTGAAGAAAAAATTTTCCATAAACATTCTTTTGCATTTTTACAGTACTTTGTTTCAACTGTGATCATGTATCACCCCAAGAACAATGCTCAGTCAATCAGGGAAGAGAAACATACCCGGAGTGGACCTCTGTTTCCAATCAAAACACCAACTCTCAACAATACACAGATCAAAAGTAACTCCAGGAAAAGCTTTGAGCAAGCTGAGAAAAATCCAAATCCGTCTCCAAACCATTCAAATCAGGAGCGTAACATTTTAAAGATGCTTCCAACATGCTCAATTTTGAGCAAGGATTTTCCCCTATTTTAATACAACTGGGGTCAGTCCCTCAGCCCTCCAAACCCACTCTAGCACAGCAGAGACCTGTGCTTGCACAAGAGCTGATATAGCCAGGCATTCAGCAGCTCCCCACCTTGCTTCCCCCCCTCACGCTAGGGGCATTTCATGATAGGATAGTAGCATGACAGGAACGCGAGGGGCTGGGCCAAAGCACACAGAGTTACAGTGTTTCTGTTACCCACTGGTGTTCCCTGAGGCTGCTCTAACTTGTGCCAGGGGATAGTTCAATGCTGCCAGTTTTCAGGATATGGAGAATTGGAGAGTCAAGCCATTTATGCCCTTCTCCAGAGGTGCCAATCACATGCATCCATGATGCTGAACTGCTCAAATCTCATTCTAAAAACCCTTCACGACAGTCAGAACATCTGAAAAAGAGAATGACGGGAGGAAATGCCTATGACACAGGGTCATCCTGTTTTAATTAAGTATCAGAGGGGTAGCCGTGTGAGTTTGAATCTGCAAAAGCGACAAGGAGTCCTGTGGCACCCTATAGACTAACAGATTTATTGGAGCATGAGCTTTCGTGGGCAAAGACCCACTTCATCAGATGCACCTGACAAAGTGGGTCTTTGCCCACAAAAGCTTATGCTCCAATAAATCTGTTAGTCTATAGTGTGCCACAGGACTCCTCATCACTGTTTTAATCAGTGGCCTTATACAGGGTTTTTTTTTAACAGACAGCTTCCTAAAAAATGCCAAATGGAGCTGCAGACACCAGGAGTCCACGGACCACAGTAGAAGACCACATGAACCAGTGAGTCCACCTGCAGGTCTAGCTTCTCTCACCCAGGTAGAGTCACGTAGGCACAGCTAATCAACTGCATATGCATCTACCAGTTCAACACTCCTTAACTCTCACATTCATTTGCGTCCTTGCGATTTGATCTTAAACAGGCAGCACAGCTCCCAACAGCACAACGAGCAGCAGTGACAAACCCCTCGAGTGACCTCAGACTTGGATCTTGACAAGGACGCAAAGGTCCACACACAGCCTTCAGCATCAGAGCCAGAGCAGCCAAGTTAAAGAAACACACGAGTTCCGTATTGTTTCCAAGGTAAAGCACATGAGAGGCTGACCTTGGTTGACAGGACACTGTTATTTATACAGCACCTACCTGCCAAAGTGCTGGGGGCAATATGCTGCAAAAATCAAAGCCAATGCAATGAAAACAATCAAATAAGAGCACACCACAAACGAGGCAGCCTGTTTTAGAACATAAGAGAAAGGGATCAGAAGGGAGTAAGCATCGGGCCAGAAGCCATTCAATACACTTTTAAAACTTCAAGACAGACAATGGTAAGGAGCTCTTTCAAACCAGGGCAACAAAGTTATTGCCATTTATACGCTGTACATGCAGCAACAGACAGGCCCTGCCCTGAAGAACCTACCGCAGGACTGGCCCTTGGGCAAGGCGAGTGAGGTGGTCGCCTTGGGCCCCAAACTTTCAGGGCCTCATGCCCAGCTCTCAGCCGTGTGGCTGTGAGGCTCAGCATGCTGCCTTGGACCCTGCACACTCTTCAGCCGGGCCTGACCTACAGTCTGACTGGACAACACTGACAAAACAGTAAATGATTTCCCCAGGGTCCTGCACAGGACAGTGGTAGAGTTGAGAACAGAGCTGAGAGCACTGAAGACATAGCTGTGCCATTAGTGATTAGCTTTGAAAAGTCAGGGAAGGGACTCCACAGAACTAGAAAAGGGCAAATATAGTGTCCAGCTATAAAAAGGAAATAAGGACCATCTGGAGAATTACAGACCAGTCAGTTTAACTTCTGTACCAAACAAAATAATGCAGCAAATAATTAAGCAACCAATTTGCAAACATTTAGGGGATAATGAGGTGATAAGTAATACGCAACATGGATTTGTCAAGAACAAATCTTCTTAAATCAGCCTAATATCTTTCTTTGACAGAGTAACAAGCCTTGCAGAAAGCAGAAGATGTGGTATATCTTGACTTTCGGAAGGCTTTTGACACAGTCTTGCATGGCCTTCTCATAAACAAACTAGGGAAATACTAGCTAGATGGGGCCACTATAAGGTGGGTACATAACTAGCTGGATAATCATTGTCAGAGAGTAGTTATCAATGGTTGACAGTTATGCTGGAAAGGCAGAACAAGTGGGGTTCTACAAGGATCAGTTCTGAGTACAGTTCTGTTCAATATTTTCATCAGTGATTTAGATAGTGGTACAGACAGTACACTTATAATGTTTGCAGATGGTACCAAGCTAGGAGGGGTAGTGAGTGGTTTGATGGATAGGGTCATAATTCAAAATGACCCACACAAACTGGAGAAATGGTCTGAAGTAAATAGGATGAAAGTCAATAAGGACAAATGGGAAGTACTCCACTTAGGGAGGAACAATCAATTACCCAAATGGGAACTGACTGCCGAGGAAGGCGTCAAGGGATCTGGGGGCCATAATTAAAGTTAAGATGTTGCCATGGCTATTTTTAGTAAAAGTCAAGGGCAATAATCAAAAGTTAGTTCTTCCAAAAGCCCTTGATATCTGTAGTGAGACAGCATTACTGCCAGCGGGCCTAAGAGAAACTAAATTCATCAGTCTTTCCCCCAACCATAAGGACCCTTCTGTGCCTCCCTTTTAACCGGGAGGCTTCTGGAAAAGAGGAGTCAGCAGTGAATCAGAGGGGCGGGTGTATGCACAAAACCCACCTTAGATTGATGCTGTCAGTCCTCCAGGGCGTTGGAAAGAGGGGAGACCTATTATGCTTTTTCAGCTGAAGCTGGGGAGCCAAAGCAAAGCATTCAGCAGTGGCAGCTCTGACCCTCTGGGTATAAGTGGAAGCAACGTCAATGGAATTGCAGCTGCTTACACTAGCAGTCAATTTGTCCCTGTTACTTTGTGGGAGGATGAGAGAGGCAGCATTGTAAAGGCAATACATAAACAAATAGCTTTGTTTTTACAATGCTCAGTCTCATTCTCATCTCATGCCTGCAGGCTACTGACTTTAACGGAGTTACCCCTGATCTACATCAGCGGCCAGGAGGTTAGAATCACCCCTCCCTTTCCCACCTTGGGCCCTTTGTTTAGCAGCTCTACGCCCATTTCCTCTCGCCCTGGTGAGAGAGTCAAGCCAGCAGAGCCTAGGCTGCCTTCGAAGGGCACTGGCCCATCCTCACGTAAATCACTGCTCGTTACATGTAGCAGAGCGTGTCAAGGAAGAGAATTAGTAATACTCATTATATTGACGAAACTGAATACTTGCTTCTCAGCCCAGACCCCAAAATAGTAACAGATCCCTCAAATTCTAATCTTTCAGCATCTGTTACATAAATGTTGGACATGACAAGTGCCACTGCTTACCGTTGCTTTAGAAGAGTGTTTCTCAACCTTTTTCTTTATAAAGTACCCCTTTAAAAAGAAATTATAAGTACCCCCAATGCACCCATCCCTCCCCCAGAGCCAGGCACCCCCAGCCCCATGCTCTAACATAATACACTGACTCCCCCACACCACTCTAATCCAATGCTGCTCCGCGCTCCCAGAGCCAGGCACTGGATGTATGGTAACCCTACCTTTGAAGTGCCTGCTCCTGCTGCTCAGCCCTGCCTCGGCAGCTTGACTGCAGGGAGCAAGTGGCCCACCAGCACCGGGCTCACCATGTGGGGCTGTGCGCTCCCACTCCAGCCCAACGCCCCCCTATCGAGAGGCCTGGGGGCAACTGCCCCATCGCTCCCACATGTTACGTCACTGATGCGGGGGCGATACTTTGGAGCAAAGCTTATTGTGCTGCTTCACTGCCTTTTACCTCCTCTCTGCAGCACTACAGGGAAGGGGCAATGGGGATGTGTTGTACTGAGTAATGCACGTCTCCGGGTTCAGCTGCCCTTCCCGCTGAGCACCCCAGGGAGGCTGCCAGAGAGGAAATAAACTAGGAGAGGCAGCCATGGAAGTCATTTTTTTTCTTCCCACCCAAACCTGCCCCCCAACTTGGAACTGCCCCGGGTCTCACCAGAGTCGCCGCAGCCACAGTGCACAGAGCGGCTGTTAACATCCAGGCATGCAGCTCTGAATACTCAATTTGACAGGCACATGCTGCCACCCCTTCCCCGATCCCCTCTGCAGGGCAAAATCCCAGACATTTTTTGCCTAATTTCTCTTGTGTTGCCATTCCCCACAGACTTTTCTCACGTACACTAAGGGTAAGTGTAGCACTGTTTGAGAAACACTGCTTTAGAATGAGGAGCAAGTCAGTAACAGAGGCAATGGGTCAAACACTCAACAATATACCCTTAGGGCTTGTTTTAATTCCATTTTTTCACATGGAACCACAATAGGCACAAATATCAATAAATAAAATGCAACCAAAAAACTAATGTTTACTCCTGGGGGAATTCTGCACCAAAAGTAAAATTTATATGCGCAATATTACAAAATTCCACACATTTCCCAGACCCCTCCAAAGCAGCCAAAGGAGCATCGGAGACAGGGCAATGGAGGAAATGAGGCAGAGGGAAGTAATTGCTAGGCAGGAGCCTGGGTGTGAACTTGGAGGGTTTTGGGGAGTGGGTGGAGAAAAATGCCCTGTGTCCCTGAACTCCCCTGAGTCACCCCCCTCCCATCTTCATGTGGCCCCCCATTCATGCTGTTACCCCACCAGCTCCTGTGCGCCCTGCCCAGTCTGTTCCCCCCACTAGCCCTGTGACCCCCACACCCAGCAACCCCATGTACCTTCCTCAGTACATCCCCCTGTGCCTCCTCATCTGGCCCCACTGGGTGTCACCCTGAGGAATGCAACCTTAGCTCCCTCCTCTCTGTGGCTGGCTGCACCAGCCTGAGAGCCAGCTGCCCTATCTTCAGGCACCACAGCACCCCCTGGGGGTGAAAGGTGTAACTGCAGCACCTGGCCAACAGAATGTACTTTTTGCAGGAAAAGAAAATCTGTGGGGGATGTGAAGTGTGTGTAGAATTTCCCCAAGAGTAAAATCAGGCTTATTGACTTGGTTCCGAAGAGGCTTTGCTCAATCAAACTGTGAAAGAAGAAAAACAGAGGGGATGTGCAGGAGACACAAAGCAGTGCAGCAGCAAGACGATGTACACCACCACTACTAATGGGCAGCACACTCAGGGTGAGACTGCTGCAATTAAAAATTGATGTTGGCACCATTTGCCACAATGCAGAGGTTCTTGACTTGTGAATGTCACACACTGCTGTCAAGGGGTTGCAAGTGTCCTGCTCGTCAATGTTACCTCTAATTTTTCCATCCACATGTGGAATAAATTTTGTTACATGCATTGAGGCATGTGTGGTTGTGCACCACCAGAAGAAACACATGCTGCTGGCTGCAGGCGCTCTGCTAACCAGATGGGCAGCATTTTAATCTCTCCTGGATGGTCACCCAAGCACTCACCTTACAGGGAACACTGCTGCCCTCCCCAGATTGCTCTACAGCAGGGGTACCCCAGCCCATGCCTGACTGGATGAGAAGCAGTCCAGGGGGTGGGGAGGTCCCAGCATTAAAAAGATTGAGGACCACTGCCATATACAGTTTATCAGATCATTGCTGCATCAAATACATTCTTCTGCCGCCAGCTACAATCTATACCTGATACTACAAAGGAGAGCAAGGACCTCAGTCCCATCTCTAACTCTACCCCCCCACTTCTCATTAAGGTGCCTGATTAATTCTCCATGCTGTGCATGGAGAACAACATTTCTACCTGACCACTGTGGCAATCATTTTCAGCCCTGAAGCCTAACCCTGGACATCTTATCTCAACTAGCAACAATTGTTTATGTTTGTGAAGGAAGCACTGGTGCTTTAAATCCAGACACATGACTCGACTCCAAGATGAATATAAGTTTTCATGGCTAACAACTTTTGCTAAGATAGTCAGTCTGAAAAGGGACAGAATGCAAAACGCAGACCAGGCACGTGTCTCTCAACTAAGATTCTACAGCAATTACCCTCCTTCCAGACCACTACTCAGTACCCACCTTTCTCTAACAAACAGTTCTATCATTCTCATACTTCAAGAAGAGAAGAGGCCGCTTAATTTCAAGCAGGTCTCTCTGAAAATGGGCTTCAGACTCTTTGCCAAGAATAAGTGAAAAATCAAAGCCAACATCAAGAGGGGATATATGCAGCAGAGCCACTGGCATTTGTTTGAACAGAACAGCTGGAGTAAGTTGTCAATTTCACTTACCATATTTTCACACTGCACTGCCTGGCAAAGTGGGCCATTAAAGAAAAGAAAGAGCTTGTGACAAGCTTATGACATATCTCAAAAGCAATAGGAGCTCTTCAGTTATTCCCGATGCTGTGGAAAGACAAACAGATGGAAATGAGAAAAAAGCAGAACAATGTCAAAAACAGGTTCTTCTCTAGAGTGCAGAGTCAACTGTGTTTGTCAGGCAGATGTACCTTGCCAGAGCAGAATCTGTTTGATCCTATGTGATGACACGATTGCCTACAAGTTAAATCACAACATGCTGAGCAGAGAACAAACTAGGGAAATATAACCTAGACAGGGCTACTATAAGGTGGGTGCACAGCTGATTGGATAACCAGTTATCAATGGTTCACAGTCATGCTGGAAGGGCATAATGATTCGGGATCTGCAGGGGTCAGTTTTTGGACAGGTTCTGTTCAATATCTTCATTGGCAGTTTATATGATGGCATATAGAGAATGCTGTTACAAGGAAGAGGGAGAAAAATTGTTCTCCTTAACCTCTGAGGACAGGACAAGAAGCAATGGGCTTAAATTGCAGCAAGGTACGTTGAGGTTGGACATTAGGAAAAACTTCCCAACTGTCAGGGTGGTTAAACACTGGAATGAATTGGCTTGGGGGGTTGTGGGATCTCCATCCCTGGAGATATTTAAAGAGCTGGTTAGATAAACATCTATCAGGGATGCTCTAGATCAGTGTTTCTCAACCAGTAGTATGGGTACCCTTAGAGGTACTCAAGAGAAGTCTGGGGGGTATGTCAACACAACTAAAATTTGGAGAAAATTGAATTTTTAAGTTTTATAGTTTTATTATTTTTGTACTTTTTACACCCAAAAATTTCATCGCTCGCCCGGCTACAATTAAGTTGTTAAAAAAATGTGTTGCAATTGTAGAAAAAAAATTGTGTCTGAAAACTGTAGGTACTGGGGGTACTCAATTTTTTTTGGGGGGAAGGGGGTACTTTATAAAAAAAAGGTTGAGAAACACTGCTCTAGATAGTGTTTGGTCCTGCTGTGAGTGCAAGGGACTGGACTTGATGACCTCTTGAGGTTCCTTCCAGCTCTAGTGTTCATATCATTAATATGATAACAAGGAATCGGATGGAAAAGGTGCCCTTATCTGGTCACCAGGCATGACTGCATCAAGTCACTGTACCCCATAAGGCATTGCTAAGTTTTTTTCCCTGAGCAGACTCGCTCACCATTTATTTTCCTCCTCTGTTGTTTATGAGGGTAAGTCTACACTTGCTCCCTATCTTGAAATAGGGATGCAAATGTAGTGTACCGAAATGGCTAATGAAGCACAGGATTTAAATATCCCGCGCTTAATTAGCATCATCGCGTCTGGCCGCCATTTTGAAATCGCATTATTAGGAATAACAGCTATTTTGAGAGAAGGGTTTTCTCTTGAAATAACGCTGCTACATGGAGCGTTTTATTTTGCAATAATGCGATTTCAAAATGGCGGCCGGATGCGATTATGCTAATTCAGCGCGGGATATTTAAATCCCACGCTTCATTAGCAATTTCGGTACACTACATTTGCATCCCTAGATCGAGATAGGGAGCAAGTGTAGACATACCCTGAGGATATTTGCATAGAAACAAGATATTCATATAGTAAAATCCAGATTCTCCATTCACCTGCCCTCCAGGAGGCCATGTGGCATACACAGCCCCAGTGGGAATGTGTAGGACAGAGGAGGAATAAACAACAAGCACGCACAAATGCACAAAATGCCTGCAGGCGGGACTGTGTTTTACATAGATGGGAGCATCCATGTGTTTCTCCTGCTGCATGGCTGGGTCAATATTAACAGGTGAGCTATCCTAAACTAGGACCAATTTGCCATAGGCTATCGAGCAGACATGTAACATGGTTATAGAAATCCGTTGTCTTGTCCACACAAGCAATCCTAATTTGTGATGGAGGGAGGGATGACTCAGATGGTTTCTCAGCACAAGGCTGATTTTCCCTGTTCAAATCAATGCAGTTACTATTGCCAGAGGATAATCAGAGTGAGGTGTCCATGGCTCAGTACAGTTCAACCTGAGACACTTGAGGTTCTGAACTTCTTGGTCTGGGCAGTATTCCTCCCTTCAGCCAAACACTGCTCCTGTGACCCTGTGCTCTTCCTTTTAATGGCCTATTTCCCTCACAAGGCCCAGGCCGCCAGCACTGCTCTCCTACCTGCCCCTTTCGGAAGGAGTAACTTGTTCCTCCCCATCAGGGTTCCCCGTAACTGCTCCGTCTCCATGCAAGGCAGACAGAGCTAGGGCTATGCTGATGTGTTGGCAGTGGGGGAGTTACTTCCTGTCAGCTGTTAGGATATTACCCATCTTGCCATAGCTGGTGTGTTTGTTAAAGCCCAGCTCCGTGGATCATGTGAATACATGAAAACTCAGCTTTGCTTGTGATGGCAGAGAAAAAGCCTGAGCGCATGTCAAAGGTACAATAGCCAGACAGTACATAAAAAGAAACCCAAATGTAATTTTTTTAAACGCACAGTTTTGAGGAGCCTGACTCATGATTCCTGAACATGTGGGGATGCAATACTGTGCCACCAACATATCTGTTGGTTTTGCACGGATCTTCCATGCAGTTTGCATGTCCACTCACAAAAGGTCGAGTTTTGCTCTCACCGCACATATTCAAAATGTGTGTAATTCCAATGACTTGGTAGCTGTTCCTCCTGATTTACACTGGCATATGCAATAGCAGGTACTAAGATTCCACAGGCTCTCAGGTTTCAACATTACCTAATGCCTCTGACTGCATTCCATTCGGAAAGGGATTTCAGTTTCTCCTCTTTGCTGGTGCACATGGGCTTGCTCAGGGATTGTTTTAAAAAGAAGAACTTCAATGTTCCCATTCACAAGGGGAAAACTGCAAAATGTCAGTCATTCAGTACAGTCACCAAGGCCAAGAGAACAGCCCCACGGCCAAGAACAGAAGTGAAGTCTCAATGAGAGAATGCGCTGAGCGTGCAGCCTCTGTAACAATCTGCCCAGAACCGAGCGCAAAGTGATACCTGTAGGGCGCGAGAGGTGCAGAACACAGTGCCACCCTTCTGCCAGGTGACTGATGACAGCAAAGAAGGTTGGGTTCAATCCACCTTGGGTCTCTTTTGACAAATAACTAAACTGGCTTCAGTCCCTCACCTGAAACCCTGTGTAAATGACACACATCAACCTTGAGTGCCCTTGCCAGGCAGAGCTCCCCGCCTTCCAGGCACTTCGCCTGTAAAGCACCAAGGGAGTCAGTGTCGTGCACCCACAGACACCCCACAACAGACTGACTACGTATGCAAATCAAGAGCAAAACACACACTATCCATCCAACTTCCTCCCCACCTGCCAATGAGAATAGCCCATGGAGAGCAGTCCCTTGACCGGACCATCTCACCCATTTACAAAAACATGGTAAGGCTTGGCTCACGCCTGAACCCCGAGAAGGACTCTTGCGCTCTGTAGCCAGGTGGCTGGGGCATTAGCCTGCCCTGTGGGTGAGGCAGGCTTGATTCTGAGCTGTTTTTTCCATCCCAGATCTCTCTGAACCAGGCAGTGCATCAACTTGGCCCTGAGCCTCTCCCACCCCATGGCTCCTGAGTGAGAGAAACTCTCTGTTTTACTCCATCGCCACAAAGCAGTGGCAGGCAACCTGCGGCTCACAGGCCACATACAGCCCCTTCAGCCATGGGCCGCAGACCCCCTGACTGCCCCCCCAACTTGCCTCTTGTGCACTGGGACACCAGAGCCCCGCACTTATCTGCTTCTCCCCCTCCCTCATGTGGTGCTCCAAAGGTGCTGGGAGGGAGGAGTAGTAAGTGCATGAGAGGGGCGCAGGGGAGGGGAACAGACAGGGGATTTGTGGGCAGCAGGTGGAACCCCAGTGGGCTGCTGGTCACAGGTTGCCCACTTAGGGTCCACTGAGATGAAGGAGGGCCACTCATGTGGCCTGCTTACTCGGCCTGGTTGCACATCACTGCCACAGAACCTTGTACCTGAAAACTTTGCTGACACCTGCACTTCTCTGTGAAATTAAATTGCACTGAACATGTTCTGTGTCTAAATGCATGACAGGAAGTGAGAGGTAATGGTGAGCCCCCCAAGAGTGAATCTGGCCTGTTCCTAAATCCAGGACAGGTTTATACAAGATGGACAGGCCCCTACCCAATTCAGAGTCCATTTTAGTCATTTGCAAAGCCACAGGACTTTAAAAATAATAAATTTCATTTGATTTCTGATATTTACCAATGAAATGTCATGGTGGTGTAACTGTAGACATCCAGACCCAAAAAGAGTTGGGGGGGGGGGCTGTGGTTGTTGTGATTGCAAGGTTGTTATAGGTGGGGTTGCGGTACTGCTACCCTTATTTCTGCACTGCTGCTGGCGGGGAGCTGCCTTCAGAACTAGTTGCCCAGCCAACAGCTACTGCTCTCTTGCCACCCAGCTCTGCAGGCAACACAGAACTAAGGGTGGCAAGACCATGGCTCCCCTAAAATTACCGTGCGACTCTGTGCAACTCCCTTTTGGGACCCCAATTTGAGAAACGCTGGTCTCCTCCATGAAATCTGTATCATATAGGATAATACCACTCAAAATGCCAGATTTCACTGTCTGAGATGCATTACATGGCCATGAATTTGGGAGGGTTCTGAAGCTGTGCAATAGATACCCTCTATCCACAGAATGGGTATCATCAAGACAACAGCAGTTTTATCTTCCCCATCCCTCACCAGTGAGCTGTTCTGGAGGGATCAGCTCTAAGGATGAAAGCGGAATTCAGTCACCAAGGCACAGCTCTTTCAAGAGATCATGCCCTACATCAGATGCTGTTTGCAAAGATAAATAACTGGTCACTAGCTTCCTTGCATCTATAATGGGAAAACACCTGTATTCACAAGTCATCCAAACATTCATGGTCTTCTCCTTGTTTATAACTTTGCATTGCATGGCAGCCTTCATTCTACTGTAGTTTTCAATTTTGTGCTACATTTATCATGCACTCTGAACTCTAAGAGCTTCTCTCAAGAACCCATTTTCCTTTTGGGGCTCTGAAAGCTTTCCAAATATGGTTATTAAAGAT